TGCTACCACTCAAGGAGATGTGGCACTGTATGCTTTGTCCAAGGCTTTGTGGGGACTGACCCACCCCAGCTCCCCCCCACAAAGACACAGGAAGGACAAGAATCAGAGAGACATGTTCAGCCTCTAAGAAGCATAGTGGTATGCAGACAGCTCCAGAGAGGAGTGACTTCTGGCTAACAAGTAGGCTTTTCCTCCTAGGGTTTTAAGACGTGCCCTTGGAAAAGTTAGGAACCGAGCAAGCCTCTCAACTTTAGCACTGCAAAGGCAATGACTTCAGCATGCCCATCATTTACAGGAAAACACCCAACATCCCATTAACCATCAGCGTGCTTGTCCATAGTTATCAGATTCTTGTCAATAGGGCAGGGAGCTTTTCCCTGAATAACTGTCTAGAGCTAAAACTACCTCTGAAATGTGCTAGCTAGGGATTTGACTTCTTTTTGTCCTCCAAATGCTTGTAAACAACAGGGGAAATTAAAACCCTAGTGAATCAGGTTCCATTTTAACTTTTGCATGTCCATAGAGAAAGGAATAATATTGCCAACTCTATTTCCATCACAGATAATATGCAGAACTTGTTTGGTGTTGCTCTCTGGGGAAGAGAAAAGGGATTGACAGCAGTTTTATACAAAACCCTCCCTACTTCGGCACAGAGCGTAAGGATGGTTTGGGCATTACAGTAATTAATCCATTTTTTCATTAAGAAGAAAAATAATCCATGGCAAAAATTCAATTGCCATAAAAAGCACAGCCCCTTCGCAAGAAAAAAGCTCAGGCTGGGACAATGTTGTGGTGGATATAGGCAATAGCTAAAAGAAAATCCTGTAATTTAATGCATCTTTTATTTCCAAAAGCAAAGACATCTTCATCCAGTGCAACAACCCAGATCATATCAAGGTGAAATTTCCAGTAGGATGCTATGTCTTACAGAATCTGTCATGAATACTTGATGTGACCTTTAAATATCTTAGTTCCATCTCTTGAAAAGAATTATCCTTGCACAGACCAATGAATCTTGCATAGATATTCACTGCTCTGACCTGCTTCCTTAACTCCTGGTTTAAAAAGGGTCTGAATAACTTTGATCTAAGCATATTTTCTCATCTAATCTCCAGAATGAAAAAGGTAACCTAGGATTTTTCAGGTATTGTTAATCCTGCTTTGAGGCAGAGGGATGGATCAGCTAATCAGAGTCTCTTCAGAATCTTTTTTTCTTTTTAATATTACTTTACTGTCTTTGCTAGCACCAGTTCCCACAGACTTCTGAGACTATCCAGAAGTAAAACAGCCTGAACTCAAACAATATTGAGGGACTTCTCTATATATTATTTGCAGAAGACAACATTATGAGCCTTTTTAAGAAAGACCCTTACACCAACTGTCTGTCAGACACTGATCCACTGTGATGAAACTAGAAGGTTAGATGTAGAACAGAAACTTGTAGAGGGCCATTGGGTCCATCCAATCTGCAGCATGGGCCTTCACTGAATGTAGTCTACCTTGCCCTGTTAGAACATTTTCTTTGCTATTATCTGTATTATCTTTGAGGGTGCCCTGGCCTTGAGGGTGGGGACAAGCAGCAAATCTGGACACAGGCTCAGCTTCAGGGCTGCTCTGGCACAAATACAGACACAATCTTGAGCACTTCTAGAGGTTTGTGACCACAAGATCTTGAGTAATTCCTACACAGCTATGACTGCTGAAGTAGGAAATATGCTGTTACTGACCATCACAACCAAAGGACTATGACCCAAATATTCTGAAGGGGTGCCCACAGAGCAGATAAGGGACTAAAGCAGGTTAGCTGTTCTGGCATGATAAACCAGCAAGTATGACAGAATTGTTGCACAGCACAACTAACTTGATCTCTAGCACGCTGAGGTGTGCCATGTCCTTAGGGCACACCCAAAAGGCATGTGGGATATTTATTACCAATAGATAACAGTACTGGTTTGCTTCACCAGAAGCTAGACTATGAGGGCAAGCAGCCTATGACTTACTTTTAATGGTGGCCATAGAAATACAGCAATCACTATACTCTAGAGTACTACTCTAGAGCAGTAGATCACTACTTTGTAAAAGTAAACCTTTGCATACAGGAGATTAAAATTAGAACTTAAATATTGCCTGAGTGCATACCACAATATTTCAGGAAAAAGCAGGAGTTTAAAACCAGAATTAAATGATTAAATGAAAGCAAGGAAGAAAGAGAAGCTGGTACTAGAATGACACATGAGACCATAGAATCCAGGAAAATTTGTCATGTCTTTAAAGCATCTGTCTGAAGAGAAGAAAGCAAATTTGTAAAAGAGACTCTAAACTGATGCATTATCATGCATTTACAGAAGTTCTTTCTTGACCTTTCAAGGAACTTGCCTTTTAGTGGCAAAGCCTCTCCTCTGCAGTGTGAAACTAACAGGCTTCCCCCTCGCTCCACTCCCAACCTTGTTCCAAGCTTTTAAGTCACAGGTGACAATTTGCTATTGGCTGCTACTGTGAATTCTAACAGATTATTATGCTGCCCACTGATCTGCTATGTTAAAATGGCTAATTAAACACAAAAGAAAAGACTGGTGATACCTCTGGAGATCCCCTAGTGCAGTATGAAATCCTATTTCATCTGAACAAGAAAAGGCTGTCTCAGTTTCTTATATTCCAACCAACACACACTTTCAAGTACAAAAACACTGTAAACCTATTACATGTTTGAAAAGAATTGTCTTCTACTTCCAGTGTTGATATGCCAGGCATATATTAATGAAATACTTTGATATTTAAGCATTCCATTTCTATATTTACATTGAAAGAACACTTTTTAAAAGATTAATGGAAGTGAGAAGAGCTAGCACTACAAATATATCTTTATGGGTTTTACCAATGAAATATGGATTCCCAATCAATATTTAAAGAAAACCCCAGATCTTTAGTTTAAATAGCCTTCCATTTACAGATGCAGTGCACTGTAAATGCGCCTTCACTTTCCTTTGGTACCAAACTCTGTAAAGTGGGAATGAAAATAATTGTGGGTGGGATGAGGAAGGGGGAGGATGAGTCCATTTTTCAAATGAGTTTATTTACTCAGGGGATTTATAAACCCCCGACCTTTGATTATCACTCCTTTGATTATTTCTTTGTATTTACTGTAACAAAAAGTATGAAAAACATAAACAATTTTCAAGGGCAGGACTACATTGAATGCCCCTAATCATCTGTATGCTGTTGTGATTGTCTGGGGATCATCAGTGATTATTAAATATGCCCTATTCTGACCTGGAACTCCAACCCACTGTTTGAAGACATGAAGAAATCCCAAAGACAGTCTGCTACACAGGAAAATGGAGTACAACTTTTGCTCTAGATCTTGGGCAAAGGAGGAAAATGGTTTTCAAAGTAGATTCTGCCAGTTGTTTGATGTGCCAAGTGATAAAAATTTAAGACCCTTTTTATTGCTTTACCTCATTTAGTATTAAAATATGAGCCATCCACTGTCAGAAGGATTGGACTAGATGTCCTTACTGGTTCCTTCCAGTTTGCTTACAGTGACTTCCCTAAAGTAAGCAAAGTGACAGGCTCCCTAGACAAGCTGAAATGAGATCTGCATACAAAGAGGTTCAAGGCTTCTGACTCATGAATGATTAAGACGAAGAATACTGTGGAAGCAGTGCAGAAAAAAAAATGGTGCCATTTTCCCAAAAGAAAGTAAAACTATGAAATATGTTTCTAGCCTTACAGTCAACCCAACCGCTTTCTTACAAAAAGCTTGTAATAGCAGAGGTACCGAAAATACCTTTGATGAAATAGTGTACCAAGGGTAATGATCCTCTCTTGCCTTTTTGTATGATCCTTCCCAAATTAGCTGAAACTACCATGGGGCACTTCTTCAGTCAAAATCTGCATTACGTGTTACCACAGCACAAGTGAAACAAGCAACCAGGGGGTGAAGTTCATCTAAGGGTACCACTTGTTGCTGACCTTGATTCTGATACTCAATCTGCAATGGCAAGACAAGTGAAAGTTACTATTGATTTGTTCTGACTGCTTTGGAAGTGCAAGCTCTTTCTGCTTCTCTCAGCTTTCACATCATTAATTATCTTGAAAGAGAGGATGATGTACAGACAAGTCTTGTTACAGAGAAACCTGTATGACTGAACATAAGGGGACAGTAAAAGAATGTGACAGGCAGATTACTTTGCCTTTAATAACGCCTCTGAAGGTGCAGTCAGTAATAAGCATCTCTGACAGAGAGACTGGTTCTCTTCAGTTGTATAAAGGAGAAGTGGGATTTGTAACCCTTCAGTCACTTTTTCCTTCTTTTCACTGAACATATCCTTTGTGAAAATCCTAGGTTACATATTTTTTAAACTACAACCTTTGGTAGGAAAAAGACAGACTACTGAATTTCTCACCATCCTAACTCAGTTCTCCAACACTCTGGCCAACACACTCATCCTTGCAGTTTGATGCAGATCCATTAATGAATGTCCTGGTCCTGCAACAGACTTTCACAACAGTGACACAAGAGCCCTGGCAGAAGGCAGAGCAGCAAGGATAGACTCTAGCAAATCCTAGTGCCAGCACAAGGTATAACGGATGATGTGGTTGAGCTGTCAAATTGGTTTAGCATAAGCTCTCCAAAGAAAAATTCAGCCCTCTGCAGAAAACAAGGTCAATGTCTCAACACTTAACACATTTCCCCTTACTCAGTCCTAGCTAAAGCCTTGAAATGAAGTGATAAAGAAAGGTTCCCTTCAGCCTCAGTGCCCACATTTCAGAAGTATGTATCTATCTAATGCAGTATCATATACCAAGAAGAACTAACAAAACACTATAGGATTCTTGACTTCAACTATTACTTGACTTTATTTTTTTTTAAGCTGGAAGGGTCAGAAAACTGCTTCCACAGGCTATTTAAGGATGCTAGGTGTTCCTAGGACTCTCACATTTGCTTATGCTCAGAATACTCAAGCTCCTCTCACCACAGCACCCCTTCCCCCTTTTACCTTCTGTCGCTGCTGAATGTTGCTCATTGTGTCTGGCTGAAACTCCAGCTTGTCCGTTCGACAAAGTTTCCAGTATAAAATAATAACAATCAGGAGTACCACAGCAACTGGGACTGCAACACCAACAATAATCCACAGGTTGCTATTCTGTGACTCCACGGTCGACTCCTTCAGCTTCTCCACAGCTGTGAAGTTAAAAGGAAGACAGTAGTGTTATGTGATTATAGATTTTAAACTGGGGACACTTCAAGGTCATGGATTTTTATATTCTTATAAATGCTAGTTAAGGAATTTATCAGAATCCAACTGCACATCACAGGAATCATCATACCACTTATAAGTTAACATGTCATGCTCAGGAAGCATGGGGCAAGTGATTGATTTCCCTGACCTACCTTCTGAAGACCTGTGCTTAAAATACCAATGAAAATACACTTCTGCCACATCATTCTGCAACCCAAAACTGAGCTGACATAGTGAAATGGGCCTAAAAAAAATTAGTTACCACTACAAAGGTAAGAAAGAAATTCCAACATTATTGCCTGTTTCCTGCTTTAAGCAGCTGCCTCTTCTCTTTAGTTATACATTATATATTTTATTGCTTTCCCAATCAATAATCACAGTCAATTTGACATCAGTAAAACTGTTCTCATCCTCCCCAAGGTGTATAGTTCTGTGGTGTGGTGTTTTTGTTTTGTTTTGTTTTTTAACTTTCTCTTTCATTGTCAGTGTGTGAGATCCTTCAGCCCCAAACAGAGACAAAACTACTGTAGAGTGTAATTAACTGAGTTATGCTCACAGGAAGTGAAGTGGTAGAATCTACAAAAGTTTCATTTGCTCTATTTTTCACATGATGTTTTCTGTGGGATCAAACCACAGCAGTACTGCATTCTGGTCAAACTGGTGCACTTTATTAAAATTATATTTTCAAGTCAAAGAGAATATTTCTATGCCATTTTATTTATATTTATCATTTTATTAACAGTCATTCTAGCGATGAACCTAGAAATTAAAGGAACATATTGTAATTCCTATATTTTGTACATCTGACAGATCATTTATGACATTACATTTTGTTACAAAAATAACCTTTTTTCCCCCAGTTTCTTCCGATAAGAAGAAACATTTTAAAAATGCCTATGATTCTACGCTTCCTAAATGTACTCTATAATGATGTGTCAAAGACAAGTTCCAACATGCAGAATAAGCTATAAACACTTCATGAAAGTTGTTCTACACTTTGCAATTTTGTGAAGAGAATTTTTTCTTCCAATTTGTTGCATTTCTGTCTAGCCAGTATTACAGTTCATTAACTGATATTAAGCAGGTGTATATGAGCTACTGACCTATCTTTACACCCCTGTTTTAATGAGGGGCAAAATTCAGGAACACATCCAGATGGTGCACTTATTACTATTTTCTTTCTTTTCTTTCTGCAGAGAATTTTAAAAATCAGACATATGTTTGTTCTATTTGCAAAATACCCTGTGGTACAATTTAACTCATACCTCCATACTGCACAGGAAATCAAAATGGCAATTAAGCATTCCTATCAGTGAGGTATGTTGCAGATCATATATGTGTCTGCTACTGTTTTAAAATACTGCCAAGTTTCTTTCCTTATCATAACATGGAACTTTGAACAGGTCTTCTGTCTCGCTTCTTGCTACAAATTATTTCTATACCATGCTTCCTGAATAAAGTCATGATATAACTTTATATGACCTGTCATATTTATTCTGATGAGTACCTAGTAAAAGGTCATATTTTCGTATTTCTGATGGACAAATAAAAATAAGGTAAATTATATTAAATGGAGGAAATAAACTTTCTTTTTGATTATGCCCTCAAAATGCCCCAACTAGCACTAGCTTACACCTTTCACTTACAGAAACGATAGCTCAGACTATCAAAAAATTTTAACTTCCATTAAACTTCACTGTCACTACTTAGCTAAAGGAAACACCCATTTCACACCTCTGCCACACAATCGTGGGTTTTGTGCAAGCTCCTGGGCAAAATAAGCTGTAAAGAAATATTGACTTGCAGAGAGAGATGAAAACAGCAAGGAGGTATCTAGTTAGCACAGTATTTTTCTAGCACAAGTGCTGAAGTGAATGCAGTGTGGCTTGCACCGATGACTCTGCTGCAATTCCAACCTCAGAGTCCTCAAGAAGCAAAGGAACACCACGTAGCTCACTGCAAGACTGCTAAAATTTATCTGAAGCACCCCAAGAACAAACCACTGCAACAGTGGACAGTGTGCAGTGCCACAACCTGCAAAGCTGATGTCACCCTTCCTGTTCTCCTTGCTGGCATCAGTGTGGATTTGACAGAGCTTACGTTGTGCAATGGTGCCTTCGATGCGGTATCCAAGGATGATTGCGGCCCGCTGGATATCGACTCTGTTCATCAGGTCTGAGCACTTCAGAGCGCTGAGTCTCTCTCCATCTTGGTCCTCCACAAAATAGATGAGCTCCACAGGGTCATCAACACCAACTAACCGTGACACGTTCACAATCTGAAAAGAAATTGGAAAGCTTTTACATTTTAAGTTGTATTTATTTGGGTGTCCCATAAATTTGGTCTTTCAGTCTTTATCCACTCTTCCCCTTCCCATCACAGGGCCTGAACCTTAAGGACACTTAGTCCTTAAAAAAAGAAACATTTGTAAGAGCTGATGCCAAGATGGCATCTGTATCTGTCTTAATTGTCACTATGTGCAACCCCTAATGCATAAAAAAAATTCTACCTTGCACTAGGCTGTAAAAATACAATTGCTGTTAAAGAAAATCCCTTTATCTGTGACAGTGAAAAATATATTATACTCACCATGGAACTGTTGTGGAACTGGTACAGTTTGGAAATTGTCAATAACCGGAGAAGTCTAACAGATAGACATGCCATGTGTAATGCTCCAAAACACTATATACAGCAAAGGCAACTTACACAGGCTAGCTCTCTCATCTGAGAAGAGCCTAAGTCAATGTTGGTCAAGCATAGATACAGAGAGCTGATATTCAGTAATAATAGTTTGCTCCCAAACTATAATTCAGGGTATTTTTACCTAGTGCTTATACAAAAGATTCTGAGTGGAAGCCTTCCAGTGGAAGACAACATTGCTGGAAAAATTTATCAGTGTCTAATAGCACAAGCACTGCTCAAGTGTTCCAGGACTTTGGGAAATTTACAGAAACTGCTACTTTGTAACTGAAAAGTTCCAGGGAAACAATCCCTTGCACAGTATGTTTTCATGGCAAAACTGAAATTTCCTTACCCCTGCCCCTCTCCTCAATTTGTTTCACAGCAACGTACAGATCCAGTACTGAAGAGGACTGCTTTCACTCTAGAGGGGCCAACATCATGCCACCCTGGAAGCCTCTACTGCCTTTAGCACTTGTTGGTTAGAAGGAGCTACTGAAGTGTGACTGCACTTTTCCCTTCTCTAAATACCTGCACTGACTTTGCTTTGTTATTCGTAACACACACCTCTTTGTTCCATTTTTTCCAAATGTTAGGCAGCTAGGTACACAGGCAAATATTCTGTTAGCTTTAAATAGAACTGTTTGCTCTTCCTCAAGGCAAGCACCTCTGCACAGTCACCTCCATCCTCCACATAGCTCCCCCTGACACCCACCCGTCTTCAGGAGGGAATGTATTGGATGCTGTGGGAAGCAATTTTTCCTACCTACTTCTAAAGATGTTAATAATCAAAAGAATGCATGCTATGAGGAAGCCCTGAAGATACTCTCTAGCCACCAAACATCTACATTGCATATGAGAAACACGTTAACAATTTTGAATTCCTGTAAAATTAAATCTTATCTATAATAACTCTCCTCAGTTTAACCATTTACATGTAAAGGTTAGCTCAACCTAGAATTAGACCAAACAAATAGTAGAAGGTATGCTATCACATAGAACAGAGCTTGAGGAGCTCTGAAAGAAATAGCCACAAACAGAGCAATGTATTTTGCTTCCTTCAGGATGATCCTTTACTATGAAGTATATATTTAATAAATTATAATCTCAAACATTGCCCGCCCATAGGCTTAAAGTAAAGCAAACACAAAAATGTTTGCATGTCTGAGTCTTATACAGCAAAGCTTTATATTGTTTTCTTTCCTAGTTTCCACCAAAACAATCATGTTGAAGGAAAGCAGTGCAATGTTCTAGCCCAACAGGGATGATGTTCTTTTAGGACAAGTTGAGCTGATGTCCCTAAAAATAATTTCCCAGGAGTGGTAACAGCAAGGTATATAAAAAAGAAGGTAGTATTATCAGGGAAATCTTCTAGGCTAAAGCAACTGAATGAAAAGAATACCATTCAATGTAAGTAACATTTGATATAAGAAACAGAAGACCTCAAGTAGAGCAGAAAAATGTGAAAATTCCTGCAACGCAGCAAGACCTGCTAACAGGACCCATTAAGCATTAATGCTGCACCTCATCCTGAATGCTATTCACTCTTCCACCAGCTAAAGGACAATCAATCCCTGCCAGAAGGTAACAAAAGAGTATCAATAAATGAGGTTTCGACACACACTCAGCAGCTGTTAAGGCTGAATCTGGTATCACAGAACCCAGATATATACCATTAGTTAACAAATGTCCACAGCTTTGTATTTCTGCTTCAGCCCTGCTGCCTCCACCACAGCCTGGCCTCAGTGCACAGTGCAGCAGGGTCTGTGAACTGGTATCTGCTTTCAGCACAGATGAACCCTTCCTAAGTAGCACTTAACTCCCATGGAGAGTGAGGGAGTTGAAAGGCCACATGGGACTGAGAGTCAATAGGTTTCTCCATTTAATTTTATGAAACCTCTCTGCTTATAGGAAAGCCACAGAAATTTAGAAGAGTCTTAAATTGAATCATCATACATTTTATGGCATTGTGGAGTACCCAAGGAGTACTGTAATTGTATGTTATACACACAGAGTAACAGTCAGAAACTGGCTGAATGGGTTAAAAAAGGGACCTCTCCACAGCTGCCTTTAGAAAGGGCAGAGGGAAAGGAGGACAGATTCCAGTGCAAGCTGCCACAACTGAAACAATACAATTTCTAACACGGAATTAAACCCAACAGTGTGCGACTCCCTATGCTGAGGAACAGGGACGGGTGAGGACAGTTGACGTGGAGATAGGAAGTAGCAGCTGGAGGTATTTTGGCACAGTATAGAGAACTTGGGAATGAGCATGAAGAAATGCGGTGTAGGGTGGAAGTACATCCTGGTGTTAACAAAAAAAGCTCACTGTTTTTAGATAAGATTTATCTGAAATAATTCATTCTGAATACACAGTATTTTATGACTGCTCACACCCTACTGAAGGAAACTGCAGACAAAATTTCAAGTCCAAGGGGAGACGGTTATGGATTTCTATTCTGGGAAAGCTGATGGCTGGGTAGGGTATTCTTGAGGTGACTACGAGAGACCTAGACCTGTACATAAATACAGCAGCTGTGACAATATCAGTACTTCAGTTTTCATCTCTGTCAGTGATTCACTAAAAAAGTCTGGTGGTTTTTTTTTTTTTTTTTTTTTTTTTTTAAATTTGCTGCAACACAGAAAATGGCACACTGGATGTGAACTGATTTAAAGTCTGTTTATAAAACTGAGGTATGCAGCCACTGTGCTCATTTTTTCAATTCCTATATACTAGGTTTTGTGCCATTTTTCTCCAAATCATACTCTGTGCAGCTTCAATTACTTTTGTCTCCTTTTAAAGAGGTGTCTCTATGCTTCAGAGTGCTAAGAATGCAAGCAGAAGCAAAAACTGTATTTTCCAGGTATTCAGCAAAACAACCCATGTGTAAGGAAGCATTTAAGTATTTTACATTTATACTCTGGCCGTGAAGTATGACATAGGGAAGGAGATAGAAGAATTTCAATACATGTGAGGCAGAAAATGAAAAAAAGACTAATCCAGCTTTTGTGTACATAAATGATACCATCTTTGTTGATATTAGATGTGCATTTAACCTCTACAGAGTAAAGGCTTAACTGTGTTCAGGTGTCAGTAAATTTAATTTGAAAAGTGTTTTCAAGAAAATATCATAGGTCAGCAAGCAGAGTTGCCTTGGTAACCAGATCTAGTGCATAATTTCAAGTGGGGAAATTCATGTGATGGGCAAGCTCGCAAGGCGTTTGCAGAATGTCAGTCAGCCAGTGGGATGTCCCAGCCAGCAGCTCCATCAGGAGTGAGGAATCCCTGGGTGAACTGGGTCAGAGTTTCAAAGGCATGAGCTTTACTTAGAAACAAGCAAACATACAATCTCCAAAATGCATGTGTGAGGATTGTTTTCCATTTTTTGCCATTCATCGCCTAGGGAAAAAAAAACACAAAACTCTAAAAAGATTCTGCTTTCTGCCTTATTAATTAAAACATGCTCTTTAAATCAGAACATTGTTCTTTTTGTTGCTTAGTAGGATCACTTTTCACTTTCTATTAGGTTCAAAAGACCAAGCACACTGAAATGAAGGAAAATCAATTATTTTTGTATTAGCTCTTGATGTATTTTAAACTACAATTAAGCCATTTAATTCCTACAAAAAATTATTGATAATTGAGTTATGGTAAACTGTTGACCAAATGTGGCGTAGTGCCTAGCCTCTGCAGATGCAATTCAAACCATGTTAAACACATGCCTTCAAATTCACAGCAACAGCAGATACATATTAAAAATATATACAACTTGCTCTGTGAAGCATTATGAGCATCACACAAAACCCAGTGGAACTATCTGAAGCTTCAGAGTTTTTTTTGTTTGTAACGGTTACAGCCTTTTTTCTTTTCTTTTTATTGTGGAATGCCACCTGTTAACATCATTGATAGGCAAATGGAAGGGGAAAGTATGCCATTTGGACACCCTAGGTAGTCCAAAGCTCTTATTCAAAGCATCTAGATTCAAAGAGTATTTTTTAACTTTCTTGGATCCGAACACATGCCTTTAGAAATGTAATCTAAGTCTCACAAGATATCTCTTCCTTTTTCTTAGTATGTGAAAGGAAACTAACATGCCTGCAGTAACATTCACAAATAATTGCTTCACCTTCTGACTCACAGTCTTGATTTTCCAGAGCTTAAAAATGTCACAGTTCAATATACTATGAATATCTTTCACCTCAGGAAAAATTCTTGTCTACAGGGGCTCAACACAAGTGAAATGCGTGTCTGGTTTTCTGTGGATATATGCATGTCCTGTTAATAAAAAGTATATGCATATCCTGTCAATAGCAAGTATATAACACTTTGCTGTTGCTTCTGTAACAGCTTTTGTATTTTCACTTCATTGTGGCCTACTGTCACAGCAGTGACTGGTTTCTGTGCAAGAAATATATATGGGAAAATCTGAACATAAAGCACAAAGAACATTAATAGCTCTCCCTAAACATATATATGGATGCATATATACAACACCCTTCACATACAGCATTTAAACTTGGCTAAAAGGATTACAATTAGCAGCAGTAAAACAAAAAGGTTCATTGGAAATGACTATGGACCCAATCCTCAACTGATTGAAGAGCATCCTTGAAAAGAAATCGTCATCCACTCAGGAGCCCACTACCAGGTGCATTGCTCCAGCTGCACACAAGTCTCTGAGGCTGTCTCACCTACCACACACCTGAACGTCCTGCCAAACCAAGCTACCAAGAAGCTATAGTACCTGATGGCACCGTCCATTCTCATGCAGAGAAGAAGAATACCTATCCTGAACACCTAGCAGCAAGGTAGCTCCTTCAGCCTTCCTCCTTCACTACAGTGCTAACCCCATCCCACAGCCTGGGCTGTGAGCCCCTGGAGAAGCCCTGTGTTATGTGGGATCATAGAAAGTCTGGACCATAACCGCAAGAATCCTCCACTGTCCAAAGACAGCAGTTTGCAGACTCTTTAGAGGCATAAATGAGCAGCACTGCTGCTTGGAACATGAGCTGCAGACCTCATTTTATATCTCAGTAAGTAATAAAAAGTAATTTAAAACCCACTGTATTTTCAGTTTCCAAAATACTGTTCTTTATCTAGAAAGGATCTGCCTGTAATATTGTGCATGCAAAAACAAATTACCCGAGCTTTACTACGTAAAATCATAAAACTGTAATCTACACATACACGTTTCATAGGTTGTGGTATCTTTCCTAGCAACCTAAGAAATATTTGTTTAATTTATATGCAAAAGGAAGACTAAGGCATAAAGAACAAAGTGCAATAAGCAGTGCTGGGAATAGAAGATCTGAAGCAGAAATCTATTTACAGCAATTCAAAGCTGCACAAAATAAAAATAAAAATAAAATCTGTTACTGAAACAGATGTTTCTGACACAGGAAAACATCAGAAAGAAAATTCCAACATCTGTTAATTTAAGTAGTAGCAAAAATTGTAGCATTAAATTAAATAAAGATAATAGAACTGAACTACTAGAAGGGCATATGTGAGGCAAACCAACTGTCGATGAATTAGCTGGAAAAAGTAATTTTTAGGAAGATGAGCTATTAAAAAGTATTTTGGCTTTAAGTTTGTTGAACTGAGGAGAAAGAACACACCGGAGAATTAAAAACTTAAAATTAAACATCCAAGTTTTTGTGAATATGTGAATAATTCCACTAGAATCCTGACAGTCGAAGCTGTCACATGTGCCAACTCTGACATCATTAAAAGCCATTCCTGTGACCAAGAGTACTGTGACAAATAGGCAATTAAAGAGTAGAACACACTACTGTGCTGCTGCATCAAGCTGCATATTATTCTATTTCATATTTCAACACCATCATCAAAACACCACAGAGAGCTGTTAAATAACTTTTCCAACAGTATTTTGTCTCAGATGACTATCCTGTCTCCTTTTGCTAAGCACCATGTAAGTCAGACAAGAGAGCAAGTTTTTAACATAGGATGTTTACAGTAAATAATCTCAATGTTGTTTTAAGAAGTCATCAGAATATTTTAGTAACCTCTTAACTACTCAGAGTTGCTTCCATTTGTTATGTTTAGCTTAAAAGACAATAAAGTATCCAAAAGAACCATATTCTGGGTGCAAAATACAAGCACCATCAACCAGCCAAATGTGATACATGTTTTTGAATTATCTTTCTCAACACAAAACCTAGACAATATTTACTTATTCAGTATTTTATTACCCTTTATTTCTTCCTCTGAGCTCTTAATACCTGCACAATGTTGCTGCCTGCAAAGCTGGCTCGTCTCCACACCCGCCCCCTGAGCAAAGCCTCGTTGAACAGGTGAGCCAGCTTCCGTTCCATCTCGGCCTGGAACACTTCCTCCTGAATTCGCTGGTCGACGACACCCAAGAGAACTACATTGCAGGGAAAACAACCCAAGAACACAAAGCAATCAGCAAAACTTTTCTGTGGCTGTTACACAACTTCAGTTAAAAGCTTTGAGTCACCCTGTGACAGCTCATGGACAATTCAAGAGTAGATGTATTCATATGGGAATACCACCCAGTTCAGCTGGAGGTTACATGTGGGAAAAGACATTGGGTGGAAAAAGGTTAATTTTTTTTTTTTTTAAAGGGCCAGACCAAAAATACTGAAAAATAACAGCTTAAATTCTAAAAACACCAAACTTATGAGCATTCCATGAATTATTTAAGAAAAAAAAAGAAAGTTTAAATTGTCTGCTGCAACTAATTTCAACCAAAAAGTGCTCAGAAGTGATACAGTGGTGGAGATGGGCAGTGCAAGGGTTCAGAATAAAGGAGAAAAGGTACAACAGCAGCACATGAATGAAACTGTGCATGCCACGTGCACTTACCTTTAATAAGATAAACAAGTGTGCCCATCATAACACAAAACAACTGGCTAGTAGCCCTGCCATTTCAGCTCCCAGCCACCGGTCACTGGGGCAGCTAATGCTGAAAAGTGTTCCCAAGGATCAACAGATAAGGAACATGAAAAAAATTGTAGACCTTTACTAACAAGACAGCATCCAGTAAAAGAAAAGTGGAGTGAATGGAGTGACAGTCATTCAAATGACTTAACTCTAAAGGATAGTAAATCAACTCACTGCTGACTGCAGGAAAATAATTCAGTTTTCATTCCTGTGCTTCTCCACTAAAATGTGTTGTTTGGTTTTTTTGTTTGTTTGTTTTGATTTGTTTTTTTTTAAGTCCCCCTTTCACTAAGTGTTCTCATATTTTTTGAAGCATCATGATTAATAAACTAATACAATTAAACACATGCATTTAATTTTAAAAGCAAAACTATCAAACCCACTTTTTCCATTTAAAAATTTTCATTGCAGACACCAGAAAAAGGAAACATTTTCATGATTTCTCACAGAGAGCAACAGCATCTGTCCTCTAAATTCAATCATAGACTAAGTATCTCAGAACTAAATAGCAAAATAAAGAGACAGTGGCCAAAGGCTATTAGACACAGCAAGTAGAAGCCTGTGTATTGAATTTCAGTATCAGTGAATTATGCTTAATAGCATGAACTGTAGTCTACAACTGAGAGGGACAGCTACAAAGAACACTGGGTATCCCAGCATTTCATGACTACTAGAATAAATGCACGTAAATCAGTGTAATCTAATAATAAAAACCTTTATGTGCATGAATTCTGTCATTTTCCCATGTCACGATTCATTACCCTTATATACAATGTACAGACTGAAAGGACTGACCCCATCAAAGTCCACTAGCTCTTCCCAGGCTGCCTGCAAGAACTGGGATTACAAAAAGTTCCTCTACAGCAATAAAGGTGCTGCAATTCAAAAGTTTACAGTCAGGAAGTTTTGAAAAACCCAAAGGGATGTGATTTCTGACCTGGAAGAACCCTCTTACTGCAGGACCTAAGGGAGCTTGCAGCCCTGCAACAATGAACAAAGCAAACCTAAGGCTGAGTGAGAAAGGGTGTGACCACAAAAGCCAACACATCTCTAAGGAAGGATGACACTGGATGTGGGATGCACATAGGTAGCTTCTCTCATGTTACTGAATCATGACCTGAAGCTCTTCATTTTTCTTCTCTGAAAGTGCATGGGCTTCAGAAATTAAGTTGCAACTTTGTTTCCTGCTTAAAAAGTACACTGGAACACTGGTGAGAAGAGACAGGGATATCTGAAAAAAGAGCAAGTCTACACAACTAGGGAACTACAGGTGGTAAAGTTGTGGGAAGACAAAAATGTATTCAGGGGCTTTTGCATCCTAACAGCAAGTTTGGTAGCCACAGCCTGGTCACTGTTTGGGCTTCCTCCGCACTCAGGCAACCTCAATAGCCTTTGAGCACTCAAATATGACAGCTCAACCGTATCTGAAGTATAGAATAAAACATCCAGAAGACTTGAGTGGGAGAGATCTGCTGCAAATGAATCAGCAGAGATCAATGAAATGTAATGGAACTCTTTCATGTACTCAGAATATATCCATTTTCATTCTGTCTTACCCCTGGTGTGTTTTGGTAGAAAATGCTACATAAAATTTTAATTTTCACTTAAAATAAAAACCTAAAAATCCATATGGTATATCAACAGCATGCAGCATAGACACTTTATACTTGACAATGTAACTGTTATCACTAAGAATGAACTGCTTTATAGATAAAAACTACTTTGTGTGCATTATCAAGGAATTGTAGTAGCTCATTCTAGATCTGGGAATTACATTTCCCAGATATTCCAGGTCACTAGGCCTTTGGTTTTAGAATTTATTCAGCTCAGGTACATTATTACCTCATAAAAATGCAGCACCCCTAAGCTATCAATACTTACGTAGGCTAGTTATCTTGCTAACAAAAATAACTGCACTCTTACTCACGAGAGATTGTACGTACCTGTTCTCACCCAGGAAGATTTCATCAACTGAGACACATTGAGCTTGGGATAATGAAAGGCTGAGGAAAAAGCAGAATGGAGGAAAAACATCTGTAAGAACAGTACTCTCAACAACATACACAAAAAAGAAGCTACTTTGTAATTTATACTGTCAGTAAGCATCTTATTTACACTGATGTAGTACTAGTCCTGAGGCTATGCAAGCACAATGGCAAGGAAAACGCTCCTAACACACACTCCCCAGTTCATCGCTGAACAAAAAGAAGCTAACTGAAGCAGTCAGATTTATTACCTGAAAGATTTCAAGCTGCTGTACCAAGGCCATTGCTCCTAGAAATGTAAAAGCTCACTGTAACTCTGAATTGTAACTCTTACTGAGCTAACTGCAGGATCAGACTTTTGCTCAAAAGGTTTGCAATAAGGCAACTCATGAGTGTCTCAGAATGAAAATAACATCTTCTCCAAGGCAGAAATACTAAATGTAAAGCAGAAAGCTGAATATAGCTTTGTTGCAGACTGAGGCAGGAGGAAGCATTTAAAAGACACCACCTGAATTATTATTTTTTTTATTAACAGACAACTAAAACAAACAAACAAAAAGTCACAAATTAATGCATGTAGAAACATTGCCACAGACAAATCTCACTACTTTTGTGTTTGGCTTGGTGGCTCCAAGCTCTATTTTCTCAATTTTTCAAAAAATGCTCCACTCCAGAGTGAAATCTTTGCTTCTGTGAAGTAAATAAAATTTCTACTGACTTCAGTAGAGATAAATTTTTCCCAAGATTTCCACTGGAGAGCAGTAAAGACATGTTGGGAAACATGTGAAGATGGGGGCTGGGCCAAAAGTTTCCTCAAGGGGAGTCTTAAACTTCACTTTGGCAATAAGGAAAAGGAATAGTCCTAACTTTCTCAAAATATTTAATCCAGATGCAGTTTAAGGATTACACAAAGGTTAATTTTTAAACCATTTAATGGATAGAATATGACACATGATTAAATGACCTGGTCCATCCTAGATCAATTTAGAGTAAAGTTGTCTTGTGTTCAGTTGTCTCCAGCTGGGCTATTGCACATTTCAGAGAAACAGAAAATTACCTCCAATTTAATTGTTCAGTGATTTAAGTAACTGACCTCTGTCAGCGTACCTAACATCTGATTCGTTTGCTCTTGCCTCAACAAAAAATGTGTAAGGTTTTTAAGGGGCAAAAGAAATGCTGGTTATGTTGTACCTTTTATTTTCATAGATTTATAAACAGTCTTACAGAAAAAAAAAAGTTGGTTATTCCACCTTTATTTCAATAATAGCACCACTAGCTTCAAGAGAATCACCTGGGAGGTACTTTGTGACCTACTGTTCAGAAATACATCACAACATGGTCCTCTGCTCTGAACAAGAAACATCGATCCTCTGCACACTAACCAGGATGCATCAAATTTCCAAAACTCTCAGATATACAAGAAAAACCTCTAAGTCCCTTTAAAACAAACACATTTGGTTTTGGCATCCTGCTATGTGGTTCTACTCATTGTAGCTTTTAGATTGGAGTTCTACTTACTCTGGTTATGCAATTGTTTACCTCAATCTAGAAATACAACCCGCAAAAAAAAAAAAGCATAAACTAAACTGCATCTGTTGTTTTTCCAAAGCATGGGAAAAGCAAGATAAGAAAATAAAAAACCTTCCAATGGCCATAAAGCTTTGAACTGCTAGCAGTTGTGAGTTTTTTCTTCTTTTAAAACAAAATCACGTTTTGCCTCAATATTTTGTGCTCTTCACACTTTTTCTAATTAGTACTTGAAAATTATTTAATTCATGCAAATTGCTGGATGACTATTCACTTAAACTTTTCACGGAATTAATGAAATTTAAAAATAAAACAACTTGAGCAGAAAATCTTGAAACCAAAAAGGAAGATGTGCTGAGATCACTGGCAACTCAGGCTGGGTTCTAAAACCTGACCAATAATGCATGAAATTATGGACACTTCTGCAACTGAGACCACAGCCAAAACTCTGAAAATCCAGGCCCCAACTCTTACTCCAGAGGTCACTCAAGTGTCTCACCAACACATGTGGCCAGATCCTGAGCTCAACTGGAGTCTCAGCACTGTGGCAAGACCATATTTGCAAGATTCCTGATGCACCCTAGAACTAATGATTAAAAGCAGCACAGAATGATTGTTATTCTGAGAGGGAAGATTGATAGACAAAATGCAGTTATTAGTTAGATTGCAGCTGGTCTGCTAATGACTATAGCTGTACTAATGAAGTAAATGGTGGCATGACTAGAAGATTCTAACATGAAGCCCTGAAGTACCATAATGCATAACAGCACTGATTCAATGTTGACTGAAAAGGTGAAGGGTCACCTAGTCACCCAGAAACCTCGACAGCACTCTGATGCACACCATTTGGGCAGCACAGCCTTCATCAGATGCTCCAACAAGGACCTCTCTGACCCTCTCATATAGAGACAAGTGGGACCATGCAGAATAGAGCTGGCACCACATTGATCATTCTTATTTCTAATAAATGGAGAAATGGTAAAGAAAGCATGGAGAGAATACAGTATTTAGAATGAGAAGGCATCAATTGAAAAATAAGATTGCAGGGGTGTGGGCAACAGTAACACACCATATCTGTTAGAAGTCTGATCCAAAATCCACCTAGAAAAAAAAATTGCCAAATATTTCTGCAGTCTGTGTACTCTATCATACAATTTCATATTATCCTATTGGCCTTGCAACATCTCCAAGATATCTAAAATAGATGTCACCCAAAGTACTACTTATAGTAAAAAAAATAGCAGGTTCCAAGGCAACTCTCTTTACTTAAATAAAACCAAAGATATTTATTAGGGGTAAGTTCTTAAAGGTCAATATTCCTCATCTAGTCCACAGGTAGCCTTTGCCTGTTGTCAGAGAAATCTTCCAGCCATAAAGAGATACTAAATATATTATTTGGTATTGTTTTTAATGAACTAGCACCCCCAAAAAAATGTGACTACACTTGCTTTTCCTTCTGCTGACACACAGTTCATGACCACATAACCAGTTTACAACCTAAAATGTGAGCTGTAAGATGGACAATGCAAAATAAGCATGTAGGAAGGTGTAAACTGAACACAAATATAAGCTTGTTGCTGATGTCACCTTGAATCGCAGAATCATAGAATGTTTTAAGCTGGAAGGGACCTCTAGAGGTCATCTGGTCAAACCTCCCTACACAAGCAGGGACATCTCTACCTAGGTCAAGTCGCCCAGGGCTACTGGAATGTCCATGGGAAAAGAAAGAAGTCCAAAAGTTTCCAGGCTTGGCTGCTCCAGGAGCCCTATTCATGCACAGAACAGCCCATTCTGTCAAACTAACAACTTCCATTACTGACCCTGACTATAAAGGAGTGGAAAAAATCTCAGGAAAAAAAAATGCTGTTGCTAATAATGTACTGCACAGGGACAACCCACACAGTTAAAAGTATGAACAGCACGTATTAGTTACGTGAACAAAAACAACAGAGAGTGAAAGGACTGTGTGTGAAAGACCATGTGAAGTGAACAAGCAGCGGGAAGCAACTACATTCCTTCAAGTGAGACTCATATTTAGGATATTGATGACAAGGTCTCACTTCACTTAAGTGTTGAGATACAACTATACTGCACAAGTAGCTTTTCCTTAGTATCAATCAACTTCAACACCCTGACAGCTCTGCTACCAAACATTTCTTTTTCTTCAGATGCAGACCATAAAACTTAGAAAAATCTTAAGCAGAGCCCTCAAGGGAAAAAAGAAGTTAGCACTACGAGTATCAACTGTTAGAATGATTGATAACTAAAGCACAAATGGCATAGAACATTTCATATCTACATATAAACAATAACATATGTAAATCGATTATATGTAAATAACAAAAAATTACCCCAAAAATTCACACTGAAAAGCAGAGGGTTGCATATTAATTTGCACAGAGCAAAGCAGCTAACTAAGAAAGATCCTCATGACATCTTCACTGCTACAACTGCTCTGCAGACAAAGCAAGAGCATGAGTGCAGAGTTCAGGGCCTTGAAAACAAACATTTAGGCATCTTCATCCTCAGACTGCTGAATAAGATGTCTCAAGAAGGATCCGCTCAATGATGATGAGCCTTTGGACATGATTTCTGGCTCTGAATACTGAAGATCTAAAATTCTTTTGCTCAAAGTACAGTCACAGCAACAGTGCACTAAAACTGTAGAAACAGCTGAAAATAACCAAGCGTGGTTGCCTCACTCACAAAAGTGCACAAGCTACATTCACTATTGTGCTTGTCAACAGACAGACTCATAGCTCTAATAAGCTGAGCAACTGTATTGCAACTTTGCTGGTCTATCAAATGGCACCACGTCTGGTATTCCAAAACAGTGACTGCAAGTGCACCAAAGCACTATTGTGACCAAACTAGACAAGCTCAAATGAAAATGAGCTGTCCTGACAACATACTCCTTGATTTACAGCACCATCTGCAACACACCCTCATGTTTTTTGCATGGCAAACTTTGGGAATATCTAATCATTCCTAAAAATTCTGAATTACTAAAGTAAAACTTAATATATTTATTTTCATTTGATTTATTACAAGTATTTTATTTAATACAACATCAAGTGTTTTGAAAATTCAGTCAAAGCAAATTTGAAGGTTGTCTTCAAAATTTCTCTATCAAACACCACCAAACTCTAGCTAAGATCTCCAAGGCAAGTGTCTGTTGGCAACATTCATTCAATAAGCTACGACAGCACCTAGGTGGGGTCATGGAAAGCAGGGGTGTACACATAGCTTGTTCAGCTACCACCAACCCTGAAGCTGGGGATGTGCACCAATGAGACTGCATTTCTCAAGAGCTCCAAATGGAGAATTTGGGAATAAAGCGTGTAGCATGACAGGCTTAAGTCATCACTGATAAGTAGCTCTGCCTTCCTACATTAAGGGTCTTCTTGGGGACTTGAGGTTTGGCATTGTTTGGGAGATTGTCCTGGTTCCGTGTAAAAA